GTGAATTCCACAGTGGTCCTGGTGGTGGTGCTGGGGCTGGTGCTGGTGCTGGTGCTGGTGCTGGTGCTGGTGCTGGTGCTGGTGCTGGTGCTGGTGCTGGTGTTGGTGCTGGTGCTGGTGGCTGCGGTGCTGCTGTCGCTGGCTGCTGGCTGCTGCTGCTGCTGCTGCTGCTGCTGCTGCTGCTGCTGCAGCTGCTGCTGCTGCTGCTGCTGCTGCTGGTGTTGTTGTTGGTGTTGTTCTGGTTACCGTTGTAGTGGTTGTCGCGGTGCCCAAGCTGGGTTCATCGTCGTCGTCGTTGTCGTCGGCATTTTTGCGCAAGCAGAACACTGCGACGACTGATCTCGAGTTGGGGCCATTGCAGGTGCGTGGTGTGGTCTACGTTAGGCAAGTCCACAACGAAGCTAATGCCCAAGTGTGCCAGGCCGACGAGAGCCCGCTTCAGTCCTGGGCCAGCGAGGAGGATGAAACGGCTTCTTTCGCATGGCTCTGAGCGGCGGGGCGAAGATGCCCAGAGAAGCTCGATCTGCATGAATTGGGCGTCACTCCGAGCCGGGGAGAGCCTCGCATCCCACCGTTGCGCGCCTTTGTATGGCGCGGTGTTTGCGGCAAGCTGTCCGATCAGAATAGCAACATCGTGCTGATGATGGGCAGGTGTCAACGTACCACGCCATCCGGGTGCTTGACTCCGCAAACCGCACCCCACCTCCAATCCGACAAGTTCCGTACACCAACGCTTGAAGCATGGAGCTCTTAACTTGAAGATCCCGCTGTTCAGGTTCCGGGGTGCTTTTTCGGGCCCACTTTTGGGACTCTGGGTCTAGGTGTCTTTATGGTAGGGATCTTGCTGTTTGGATTCCGGAGTAGGTTTTCTCAGTTTCGGCAAAATCAGAGGTACGGTTTAGGGTCCCTCGTAGTTTGGCTTTGTTTATCCTGTTTCCTATTCCGGCTCCACATCACGCTTCCTAACTTTTTCAAGCTCCCATATAACTCTCCGCCGAGGCCTGTCGGTCTCAAGCAGGTAACCATTCGGCCCCCGGGTGCAACCCCAACCCGAAGCCCAAAACCAGGAGATTATGATAACCAGACCGAAAGCAAACCCGGGTTTTGGGGGTTTGAGGTAAAACGCTCCCCCTAAACCCTAAAACCTTAAACCCCTAAACCCTAAACCCCCTAAGCCCTTAACCCTAAACCCCTAAACCCTAAACCCCTAAACCCTAAACCCCCTAAACCCTCAACTCTAGGGTTTACCATCGACCCTAAGGCGAGAAGACTTGCAGCTTGGATACGCCCGACGGAGCGCGCCTGCTCAGTGCCTCGTTTGCATGCTGGCTCCTGAGGCCTGAATACGGTTTAGGCTTTCGGGGTTTAGGGTTTTAGGGTCTAGGATTTGGGGTTTAGGGTTCAGGGTTTGGGTTTAGGGTTTTGGGTTAAGGGTTTGGGGTTTAGGGTGTAGGGCTTAGGGGAACAATCGCCAATAGTATTCTTATAAAAATAAGTGTACACGAAGTTTCGTCAGAGCCTTGCTCTATTTTATTGAATCCCCATATACTAAGAGTGCGTACAGCCTGATGGATTTTACGGTTTTCCGACGGAAGAAGGAGAGTGTCGGAACCCTAGACCCTGTAACCAGAAGCCCTACATCCCTAAACCCTATAACCTTAGACCCTAAACCCTAAACCCAAGCCCTGGACGTTCAAACCCCTAAGCCCATGGACGCCCCTTAACAGGGTTAGGGGTTTACGGTTTAGGGGTTGCGAGTGCAGCCTGGAACGTGTCAGCTGCTCTGGCATAATGTTGCAAGCCAGTGGTTAAGGGGTTTGTTTATAAGGGTTTCGATATACACCATAAGACCCCAAGCTTTCCAACCGGTTGTTCCTTAGCCAAGCGGTTATGAGCCAGCTTCAGATCCGAGCCCTACAGGAGGCGCTGAACCCTGTAAGCCACCCCAACCCCTAAGCCCTGAGCCCCAAACCCTAAACCCTGAACCCAAATCCCTAAACCCCTAAACCCTGGTCCCTCAAGCTCTAACGCCGCCAAGGTAATATCGGGTCGCTGATGGCCAGGACCTGAGCAACCTCTTCGGTTTGAATATAGAGGTCTTAAATAATGTTAGGGTTTAGGGGTTCGCGGCCCTAAACCCTAAACCGTGAAGTTCGGGGTTTAGGGTTTAGACGACGGGTTTCTGGAGCGTATTAGAGTATACGTAGTATACGAGTTACGAGTCTGAGTTTGTAGTACGAAGTAGCACTAGGTCTTTCACGTCTCCTGTTGCTTATTGGCTATGCTAGAATATGCGGTTTAGGGGTTTAGGGTTTAGGGTATAAGGCCCTCTTTTAAGATGGGTTCACCTTCACAACGGCTTTGCTGCCCAGTCTCATTGCTGGTAGTTTAAATGAATTTGACCACAACTTGTTGGTGAAATCTTGCGATTGCAAAGATTAAGGGTAGGAATACCTGGTAGCATTATACGCTCCTAGTACATATATTCAAAGTATATGATAATGTGCACCAGAACCCCATTCTCCACTGGCCTCAGTCAAAGAGGCCAACCTCATCCGCATCCTGAACTTCATCCTTTGGATAACCTGCATTGTGACTAGTAGCATACAACTAGGAAATAAGGCAACCAAGAAAACGGCACTGCAGTTTGGGATCTAAGAAGGTTATGGCTTCACTTTGGTTTTTGTTTTGGCAGACACCTGCCTGTGTTTTCTTTAGCCAGGGTGATGGTCCTGGATTCCACGTACTGTAGGGGTCGCAAGACTCGACGAGAGTAGCCCCTTGCAGAAATTTAGTATGGTATACCTCTAAGCCCTGTTCACACCATGAAGGCTTCTATTACGTAGCAAAGCCGCCAAAACCCTAAAACCTAAACGCTCAAGCCTAAACCCTAAACTTTAAAACCTTAAACCGAAAGCGTGGGTGGAAAGGCATGCCACATCTGTGCCCCCCAAAGCCGCCAACCAGCATCCTGTCGCCTTGATAAGCCATGAGTTCCGAAAGTCTCAGGATTTAGGGTTTAAGGTTCGGGTCGTACGAATTCCGAAATTTAAACTTGTTTGGGCTGGGTTCCTGAGCCCCGAAGCACTCGCTGGAAGCCCGAAGTCAAAAAAGGAGTGATTCCACCCGCATGCCAGGTCCGGAAACACGTGAACTCCAAGGCATCTCGCTGCGGGTGTGGTTTGTTCATAGGATGTGGGTGGTATAGGGGCCTATATTTTAAATAATTACCTATACTATTT